ACACGGCGGGAACGGGCAGCGCCTTCCCTGCTCTCAGGGGTTTCTTACCCGGTCGAGCCTTGGGCCTTCGTCCCCACGAACGCACACAGCCGGTTTACCGATCAAAGCTCTCCCTTCCTCATTTTTCTGGATTTCTTGCTTTTCAGGTATAACCTGCTTCTTTTTAGTATTTCAGCAAAACCAGGATGTGATGCTGATGCATTGATAAACCGTGACACACCCCACATTTATGCACACGCAGAGATGACAACACTACTTCAAAGCAATCCACGGCCACCTTTTTATCCATTTTGTATACGGAGATGGAAGGTGGGACCGTTCCATAAACAAAGTACTAAACCAGTACCAAAACACCGTTAGTCATTCCCAGGCTTGGGAATTCATACCTGTCACTACAGCTGTTAGTATAAACATTGCCATACTCTTCTAAAATCCCTAAAATACATCACTGTGTTAAAGTGGCTGGTTTTCCGCTTCCCAACAGACAAATGCAAGTTTTTCACTCCAAGCAGCTGTTCAGTTCCTCAGTTCCTAGAGTTCAGCGGAGCCTCGCCAGGGTTTGTTCTTCTTTCTAGGGTACAGAGACTAAGATTTGGACTCCTTGTTGCAAGTTTCACTTAAAATTCAAGCCTTTCCTTAAACTTGAGCTGAATTCAAAAGTTTCTATTTCACCCGTTTCTCACAGGGGTCGCACGCTGTCCTGTGCCCCAGCTTCCCTGCGGCATCCCCTCGGCACTGCGTTCCTGCCTGGGGGCTGCTGCAGCCCAGCCCCTCCCTGCCGTGGATCACTTCTTCCTGGGACCCTTTGGGACTGCCCCCCTGATTTCTCAGCACATTATGACCACAGCCTTAGAGCTAGACTAATATGACCTCTGGAGTTCAGTCAGGCTCCTGAGGTCCGAGGGATGAAGCCTTTACCTAACAGCACCGATGCATATTTGAATTCCAGTCAACACAAGCACACTCTGGTACAAACCTTTATTATCTCACACCTTCTTGCCACAGCTAGCATTGAAACAACTGACATTCATATCTTACAGGCACCATAAAAAGTTACAAAGTGTAAAATATGCTTTGTAGTTCACAGAGTAAACATTCTTGAAGATTGACTTTCTGTAAATGAAATTTGGCAAAGAGAAGTTCACCCACAAGGGCACAGGCAGGCACCAACATCTTGAGCAGGCTGGGGAGGCAGTGTTTGCGTGGGACAGAGGCAGAGTATTGATCTCGTTGATACAGATGACTAGCTTCCCTGGGATTACTGGTGTCATTAAAAGGCACAAAGAGAAACACACCACAAAGCAGGCCCCAGTGAGTGTGGACACCCTACCAGAAACCTGAGCACTACCTGATTCTTCAAATCACAGCTAGGGGAGGAGGGGACCACCATTCCTACTAGCTGCTCACTCTTGCTTTGTCACGCATGAACTGCAACAGAAGGTTGTTGATACTCTACCAAACACAGGCAGCCTCCTGGCGGCTGCAGCAATGGCAGGACTGGTGCCTGCCCTGGCCACAACAGGTCCGCAGCTTCCAGGGCTCCGGCCTTTGAGCTCAGTATTGCAGGGCTGTTCTACAAATCCACACACTAACACAGAGGTAAATATTTTAGATCACATCACGCCTATCAGGTTTAGAGACTGATATTCTATTTTAAAATAGTCCCAGATACACTAGACAATTTGTTTATAAAAGGTAGTTTTGAGGACCATCATAAGCAATATGCAACAGTTATTGAGCAACAATATTTAAGTAGCTTGAAGATTTTCTTTTTTTCTCCATCTTCCCGTGTTACAACAAAGCAAGGAAAACTTCAGTAGTCAGAGTAACACAATCCCTGCTTGTTCTAACTGTGCCAGTTACGGATGGTATTTAGAGCCTACAGATAATTTTCTCATGGAATTCAGAGGTAAGCCTGTTTGTAGGGTACCCTCTGGACCAGATATCACCCCAAAATCAGTATCCGCATGCTAGAAGTTTTGAAGAATTTGATCAACAACAATCCATTGTTACTTCCCATCCTCAGCCCAATGCTAATGCTTTTAAATTTACATCCTGAGCTTCTATATCATTAAGGTAATGGGAAAAGAGCAGACTGAAAATGAGAGGAAATATCTCATTAGAGCAGATGATCTAGGAGAGCACAGTCTGACACAGACTCCAAATTCAAAATTCCCTAATAATCAGCACTAGTCACCAGGGCAGGCAGCAAAAAAACAAATCCAGAGGAAATTTCACACAGCTGGCTAAGCAAAAATGACTACTCAGGGCTCACCACTTACTACAGTCCTTGGAACCCTAGAGACCTCTTCCTAGGTATCAAACCTGCTGTGTTAGTCCTCCCTAGACACATGTCATTCCAAGAGCTGAAACAATCCTGATCTTAAGCTTGTGTTAAACATGCACAGTCACAGTGCTTCTTCTCAAGCCCTGGTCCTAAAACAAACAATAAGCCACCGCTCAATATTTCGTATGCATACATGGTCCTTCAGAGATCTTAACCCAGGGAAAGATGGACAGAGGGTGATGAAGGAAGATGTCCGTACCACAGTGATCATCAGGGAGCAAAAGCATGGGAAGGGAGGGCAAGCACACGTGGTGCCAAAAAAGCTCAAGTCACGTAGAGGTGAATTGTGGGCACATTGACAACAGTCTGCCAGGGAAGAGGGGGATCCTTCTTCAGGCATCACGAATTCCAGCCCTGGCTCCCAGAAAGACGTTTGTTGTCCTAGAGAAAGCGAGAGCAGGATTCACTGCCACAGTGCTGGTCACATCTGAATGACAGATAGGCACTAGGAGGAACAGCAGTCCTAAGGAAACCAACTTGTTGCTGGAGGTGTCTTTGGAGCACATCAGATCAACACACATCCGCTGTGTCTGGCAAATACTTATTCGGCTTTGGTTGATTAGGAGTTCACTCTGTAGGAGTTGAGAAATTTCCACTCTTTTCTTTAAACACCTTCATCTTGCTAAGATGTTTTCTTTCCAGAGTTTTAACTTTTTCCCAAAGTCCCAGCTGCATTTCTTCTAAGGAGACTCCAGCTAGCAAGCGCACAATGTGTCCAGTGCCTCTGTGGAGCCAGTGCTGCTGTTCCTGGAGCAGAACTGACCCAGCTGCAGATGCTTCAGGCTGCCTGACAAGCCTGTGCACGTCCTGTCAGAGCACCTAAGTGATATAATATTCAGGCACCAAAACTGCTTAAAGCAAACAAAACACTTCAATAAAACCAGATCTGCAAAGTGCACGTGCACATAGAAAGCATTTACAAATACAAGGATTTATCTTGTAAAAAATTCAATAATTAACTCTCTTCACACATCATCATCATCTCCAAGATTTTAACTAAAAGAGTTTGGCTAAGATTTTTTTTTTTTTCTTAAAAGGATATCCACATTTAGGATACCATCTCTCAAATTTAGGGACCTGGTCTGTATACAAAGCATTCTCAAGCTGTGTCACATTGCAGCACAGCTTTCCACATACTTCCCCACATTTTATCAGTGGGGAAGAAAAAGGCATATATCAAGTATGCTTTTGTTAGTGCTAAGTTTCAAAAACTAGACTGAACAAACTGGGCTCCCCTTCCTTCTGTGGAAGTGCTTGGCATGTGATCATTTTTAATTTGCACAAGATGTAAAGTTCACATGATTGCCCCACTAGCTTTCTCAGTACACTTCTGTCCTGTGCCTGCCATCTCCTGTGAGACAGGAACTACCAAAGCTGCTTCGTCTTCTAAACTGACAATCCAAAGCACAGCTTGTTCAAAAAAGTCACATCGTTCAGTGCTTCCCATCACCAAGCATAGACATGCACACAGAAAACTCAACACACTGTTCTCCTCCAAACACAGGGTTTGCTCTGCTTCATAACTTGGACAAACCGCTTTTGTGAATATCCTATTCAGGGCAGAAAGCTCCTATTTATTCCTGAATTCAGATGTAAATGGCTTCTAACAGCCATCTGCTGAAAATATACACCTTCATTTCTATGGAAGAGCAGCAGGGTTTTCTGATACTCACAGAACAGCCAGGTGTTGTGTTTGATATATGCTAGTAAGTCTCTAAACTTCTAATCAAAGACTTTTCCAGTTTATACTTTCCTGCTCACGAACTCATGCTGGGGCACTTTCCTCTGCTCAAGTTATGGTTAGGTACCACAGTGGCATGAACATCTCCATGGAGTCTCTCACTAGCATGTCTGGTACGGATGAACCTGAAAGGACAACTCAAACCAGCACTGGCTTCGAGGCTCACGCCCTAAGGATTCCTCCCCCCCCCCCAAGACAAAGATAAAAATAAATCATCTAATAATCCCTTCTTAATATTACTCCTTACACAAGGATAATTACAGATTGCAAAATAATGATTGCAAGAAAGAGATCTTTCAGCATACACTGTTTTTTTCCATTAGATTTGGAATTACAAATTGTAACTTTCTACTCAAAGATGAGAGATTTATGCTCAGGGATCCCATAATTTCTTTTGTGTTCTTCAAATAATTTTCTTAGTTTCTGTAGATACAATGCATGTAGCTGTTCAATCTCTTCAGTGGTGGGGTTCAAGTTCCGTTGTACAGGGATGGGGCTTCCCACTGTAAATCAAACAACAGCAGCATTAGCTTCATTGGTGCCTTTTTAAGTAGAGCTGCTCTCCCTCCTTTAACAGCTCCACCACAGCTCCCAGCGAGGTGGCAGAATCACAGCACAATTCTCTTGCCCTTGGGGTTGATTCTGCCTTTCATTAACCTAAACCCTGGGTCTGGTGCTCCACTTCCTTTTGCTCTAGTCTAGACCAAATTAATTTAACCCCCCCATCATTTCAGTTTGTCAGCAAAAGAGCACATGAGGAGGCGGTTAAGCTCTAACTTGAAGGAGCAGTTTACACTTCAATATACCATCCCATGGGCTATGTATTTTCTTTACAACGGGGCAGTACTCTGGCATTTAAATAAAATGCACCTTCTCACCATGTTCTGTTCTGATCTGAATCTTAAAGGTATCCAATGTGAGGAACATGCCTAAGAGGACAGAGGTGCCCTCAACCACACAACTGCATCAAGAAGACTGAAGGAAATACAGATATCCTCTGATTTATTCAAAACAGGTACTGCTGCACCAGCACCAGAAATGTTGTTGGCTACCTCAGCCTAGGAAGTGGTAGAACATAAAACCACCAAATCCTGTAAGGTGTCTCTGAACCATCCACTGCCCACAAATATCATTCCAACTGAAGCATTCTCCAGGCATGAGGCACTGAGGAAAGCCTGCTATCTGCTCTGTCGAGCAAGAGCGAGCATGGGAGGCAACTCCACAAAATGCACAGGGTAGCCTCCTCCTCCGCAAAAAGCTATGGCTAAAAAGCCTGTGATATGCTAAGAGAAGCTTCCAATGATCTCAGTCTTCCTTGTGTTGTTCAATCACTACAGATTTTGACAGCTGTTCTTGCACTGGTCACCGAGAGCTTAATAAACCCAACCAAGATTACAGAGGTAGTCTGTAGAAAACCAGAGTTAAAAGCACTCCTTAAGAGCTTTTACAAAGGGACCTGAAAATCCCTTTCAGCAGATGTTGCCATTTCAAACTGGCTGGTGTTGACTAAAGGGAAGGGAAGTCTAGCCAGAACCACAAAGGGGCTGATTCTGCAGGTTCCTGCTGCAGCTTTGGCTGCCAAGAGCTCTCAGGCCCTACGCAGCACTGAAATTCAGACTTACATGGCTAGAAGTGAGAACCCAGCCCTGGACTGAGCAATAACTTAGAGGGGGTGAAATCAATATACATCCAATACAGGATTTCGAGAAGCGTGACTGGAAACACCAGACAAGCCCCTCAAGCCCTCCTGCAGTAGTCTCTTCTCCTAAGAGTGGAGGCTTCCTGTGGAATTGGAAACTACACTCATCTCCTGCATTTTCTGTGCAGCTTTAAGCAACCTGCTTAATTTGATATTTTAGTTGATCCTATTTCTGAAAAGCACTAGTAATTTTCAAGAAAAACAAAATTACTTCACTCACCAAGCCCAAAACACTGGGACATCAGGGACCTTGGTTTTGCTGAACTCCTGCAACTTTGCATCTCCCTGCTTTAGGAACCACAGCTTCTGAATGAGGAGGAAACTTGCCAATGCCTGGCCACGTTGTCAACACGGCTAACCGGCTCGGGTGGAGCTCAGCGCGGCTCTGTAGCTTTCAGGAGCTGAGCTAACACTTTCAAAGCTGTGTTGAGCCATACAAAGGGCCCTCCCAAGAACGCAGGAACATGGTAAGGGATTTCATGAGATCATACAACAAAATCTGGTGCAAGACTCTAGTCTTGCTGATTTGAAGCACTCCCATCCTTTAGCCATAGACCACCTCTGTCCCTACAGTGAATATTACAGTGATGAAGATTTGCCTCAAAGTAAAAGACACTTTAAGCTTCAGAACAGTCTCATCAGACCAATGAAAAACTGCAGAAAATATGTCCTTCTCATTCCAATGCTTTGAAAACTTTTTGGCTTTAAATTAAGTGACATTTTTAGCCTGCCTGGGCACAATGCGGGCTTTAAAAATTAAGTATTTTCTAAAACATTTAACTATATATACTGATAAGATACAGAGCTGCATAAAATTTAACACAAAAAGAGACATATTTTTGTCTGAAACATTTTTACTTGATCCATACTAAAAATCGCACCATCCCTCCATTAAAGGGAGGGTCTTTTTAAATGTCCCTCGTGGAATACCAGAAAGGCTTGATTTACTTTTCTGTAGAAATAGGCTTCATGAGTTCACTCAGCTCAGATTCTGGACAAAAATGATTGTCCAAAATACACAGACAGCCAGCTATTCTCTTTGCATAATACCCAGCACTACTTTTTAAGGTGCAGTTGTCAATAGCAGTAGTTAAAGCCATTAAAAATCAAAAGATATTTAAGGCCTACACTCCAGTGATGACCAAGGATGAAAGCTTGTGGGGAAAAAAGCTCTTCCAAGCTTCCTGTTGACATGGCATGCCTACTCTCAATTAAACATAAACGGATCTTTCCATGGGGAAAAAAAAATGGGAAGGAAACACCCTAGGGAGCTGCAATGCCATCTAAGCAGCAACCTGCTGAAGGGCTACACTGCCGCAAGGCACCCTCTCTTCCCTCCTCCATCTCTCCCCCTGTCCCGATGAGCACTGGCTCAGGACTGCACCGGCTCCTTCCAGTAGCTCTGCCCTGGGGCACCACTGTGGTGGCCATGTGTCAACTCAAACACCCAGCTGCTGCTTCTCTGCAGGGCTAAGAAATGGGCATCTTACAAACATGCTGCAGCATCCAGATTCTGCAGCAACAGCTGCAGAGCTGTGGCAGCTCTGTGGTACAGACTGGACAACCCCCTGGGTTTCCTGGAGGATTGCTGAGGATAGAGACCTGTGAATATGTGAATGAACAATAAGATTTGGCCTGGGACAGAAAGGAAAAAGGGAAAAAATAATCCCCCCTTTTAATTGGGGAAGGACAGGAATTATTTATTTTTTAAAAAGGAAATACTTATTTTAAAGCTCACATACTTGCTTTAGATGCACAGTAACCAATTGTTTCTGTCAGAACAGATTTATAAGTTTACACAGATATTCGTAGCACACATGCATTTTTAAACTTTTGCGAAAGCATTAGAAAAGACACAGGGAACTTACCAACAGTATGAATAGGTTGCCTGTAAGGTATTAAACCAAAACTGTATTGAAATACTCCTCTAGCATGAAATAGTGGTAAAGCAAAGCCCATTATCTTCTGCAACTTCTCCTGTACATTTCTGAGCCATGAACCTTTGGGGTTTGCAACTTGCTTGAATAGATCATTTTCACCAAAGGAAAACACCGGGACCAGATGAGCCCTGTAAAACAATGAACACATTGAGAATCCCACATCAGCCTGCACTTGCACTGCAGTTCACATCAGCTGCGTGGAAATGGTTTCACAATAACCAGCACAGAAAGCTTTGGCAGCTCTAAACTTCATCAGCAACAGGCATTCAGCTCCTCTGATATGCAGCTGCTTGGGGTTTTTTCGTTTGTTTGGTTTTGTTTTTTTTTTAAAAGAAAGTGATTGGTATACAACTAGCAACTAGCTTTTGGGCAGCATTTAGTTGGTTGCCACCTGTCACAGCTTTTTCTGACAGCTTATAATCATAAAAATGAATAAATGTCTATATCATAATTATGATTATGATCTTATCCATCACTATTCCAGCAAGTCCACTCTTGTTCCACTGCATTTCTCCCTTGGCAAGCCTCATTGCTAACCTTATAATGCTCCCAGCGGGGTGGCGTCAAAACCAGATCTTGGCTTTCCTCTGCCTTTTGACTGGAGTAACACATGCACTTGATTCGGCACAAACACCGTGATAAAAACCAGACATCCTTACAGACATGATTGTTATGCCAAATTCCTCTGCTGTCCAATTCCCAGTAAAATCCTGCTTCCTCCAGACTTCTTCAAAAACACTAGCCTTCATCCATTATTACCAGAGGTCAAATCCTACTCACAGAAATTACACTAACTCACTGTGGCTCCTGCTATACCCTAATGTATTCTCATTCAATTCATGAACTGGCTTGGGAGGAAAAGCACTGACTAGCTCCTGGACAAACTACTTCACCTAATGGACTCAGTGCAGTTGCCTCCAACAGGCGAAACCACCTCTATATGTAAAACCTCAACTGCAGTATGTTTTTTGCTTAATGCTTAGTTTCATTAAATAGTATGCTACACAGTTTAAAAAAAAAAAAAAAAAGAAAAAAAAAAGAGTAGGGTAATCCTAAGCAGTCTCTACAGGATACAGAAGTATTTTGTTTGCTTTACTTAAGCCTTAGCTTCTATATCTTAGCTCCATTCAGCCCACACTATCTTTGAGATAAATCTTACTGTAAAATAGCAGCATTGCTCTGATATTGTTGGGATGAATTACTACAGAGCTCTGAACACCTGAGGAGGATGCAGTGAGAACAGAGCTGGCTGGAAGGTACTGTGGACAATCAAAATCCACCTGTATGGAAAAAACAACTGCTTCTACAGCTTCTGAAGCCTGAGGACCCCCAACGACTATTCTCACTCACTATTCTGACTGGTGCCTGCTCCATGGTTCTTCCTCAAACAGAGCATATGTTACCCAGCCACCTGTAAAGGAAGTATTGGAAAACCTGGTACATACTGTGGCTGTGTAAATACTCCACTTTTTACTACAATGCTAAGACAAACAGGAACATCTTGTGGTGCAATAGCACCCTGAGCCTGTGGGATTTGTTTTAACCTAGTAAAGCCTTTTGCAAGATGTTCTGTAGGAGGATGAGACAGAGAAATAAGTAACTTATGATTGTGCAACTAAAGATAAGTTAGCTGATTCATCATTTGTTTCACATCTTTAGGATTTCTTCACTTCACAGCAGGTACCTGTGCTACCTCAGACCAAAATGTCTTTTCCAGAAGTGCAGACAACTTTTGCTGAGATAATCAGACCACATTTGACAAGTTCCTAGCTGAGGAATGATGCCTTCTCTGTGCTGGCAGTACAGGAGCCAGGGCCATAGAGCACAGGTCTCTGCATTGCCCCTTCCTCTCTTGGTATTGGATGCTGCAGATGAAAAGCACCAGAAACATATGCAGGTACTGATGGTAGGTGGTTCTTCTTACCTGCCTCCTGCAAGCCTCCCTTGCCCTTTCATTTCTGCATGAGTTGGGAGCCTGTTTCACATTTTGATAACTGTTAGAAACAAAATGTTAAAACCAGAAGCAATTACTGGATGCAGAGTCTTTGGACACAAGCTCAGGAGTGCCAACAGTGCTGCAAGAGCTCTAACAGCTAGAGCCATACTCTCCTACTGTCCCACTGCCCTGCTGTATAGAAATGAAGTCAGGATTCCTACAATTCACATAGAAGCAGTTTTTATTGCCGGTGCTCAGACCCAGAATGACTTGCAGCCTGGTGGTTAAGGTGACCATCTGCGAGGTGTAGGTTTCAAGTCACTCAGGCAGAGACAGAGGTTACCACCCTAGTGGAGGGCTCTAGACCACTAAGCCTCTTTAAGAAAGAGGAGGAAACATTTGAAACAAAGGACTTCATAAGGAAAGAAGCAGCCATTCCTGTGTTTTGTAAGTGTCCTGATCTTGTCAGTGTTGGGGATGCTTTTGAAATCAAGGCCATGAGAAGGCACAGGTGTATCTAGTTTCTCAATCCAAATCAGTCTAGATGAGAGATAAGCACCAGACTTTGTGATCTGACAGATGAGACATTTAGGGACATGCTCAAAAGAAAAAGCACCTAAGTATCATTCTAAACTTTCTGGTTAAAAAAATAAAAGCTACTGATAGTGTTTAGGATCTCACTGGATCAATCAGCAGTTGAGCAGAAATTGAGTAAAGACTCATTTAGGCACTAAAGTCCTAATTTAAATACACAAGTGTTGTTTCTGGGTACAAATTTGACTAAAATGTTACTTTCTATCAGAGAACAGGTCCTTTATCAGACTTCTAGTGATATGTATAAGAAATCCTCTCAGAATATTTTCACACAGAATAGTTTCTAGAAAAAAATGTACCCTAGCACCCTGTGTGAATACAGAAAGCTCTTCTTCTTCTCAGAGACCACCTTTTTTCCACTTAATAGCTTAAAAAACTGTCACAATTTTCTCAAGACTAATATTTTTTTTCTCATTGCTTTGCATGTCAATATATAACCCTGGGAGCTGTTCATAAAGCTTAGCAGGAACAAGTCATTGGTTCCAATATTTCTAGTACACAAGATATCTAGACCAGTCCAGCACAAATACAGTAGCTTATACTGCATAAATCACTCAGAAGATATTAATACCACTTCTGTTTAGTTACGTACTGATGGCTGTTGGATAGTAAAAAGCAAGCTAGTTTTTCTTGAGATTTTAACTGAAAATTCTCAGAAACTTACTTTCGCAGATAACAATCTTCAAAAGAAAGTCTTTAGAATAAAGGTGAAAACAAATCTTCCTAGACCATAATTTTCAGTGATTTAATAAAACAAGGCCTAGCTTTCTTATATTTTTTTGTTTGCTTAAATTGATAAGAAAATTCTATCTTAATATAGCTTCAGTTTTCAGAACAGAAAACAGAATGTGTGCTCCACGCAGCAATAACAGCCAAGGTTTAATAATATTGTTTCATAATTCTTACTCTTCGCTAGTGCAAAAAACAACTGAAACAAAACACCAAGATATGCTAATAACACCTACTTCTTACAAATTACGCAAGTCAAAGGGAGTTTTCAACACTCCCAGATTGGATCTAGGTGGACTAGCTCCTATGCCAGACAACTTCACACTCTTAGACAAGTAATTCTTTAAAATTCTAATGATATGAGTTTACTAAATATAATATGAACCATATTTAAGAATCAATCTGTATTCAAAGCATGCTTACTACAGCAGCCCAGGTGGGAAACTTACCCATGTTTCAAAGCCATTTTAATAAAGCCCTTCCTCTTGAGGATGTTCAAAGTTAAACTTCCAGGATGTGCATTCAGAGATTCCTCTGCTCCTCCGATCACAATTATGGATGCGTGGCCGCCTCCTTCCTTATTCAGCACATACGAGACGCTCTCCTTGGATGCAGAAACCATTCCTTTAGGAGCAAACATGGATCTTCACGTACAAGTACAGCAGAATTTAAGAAATATTTTTAAATAGCTAAATTATGTTTCCAAATGATTACACCACAGGACAGGGTTCAAAGATTTGCATTCAACCCCCTCACTCTGCAACAGATTTGGTCTTAGGTAAGTCCTCTGATTTCACACTGATGAGCTAAATGCTGTTTGCCTGTCACAGGAGTTTTGAGACCTTCAGGGAAGAGTGTGCTCTTCTGCCAACTTAACTTGCCCTCAGAGAGATTCTGTGCCTGAGAACAGGAGAGCTGAATGGCAGCAGATACCGTTGAGAGGCAGCAGCTAAAGCCATAGAGCAGGCGCATATAAACACAGGCACCGAGCGTTTAACAGAATGAATAGAGAACTTGTTAACTCAAACATGATCTACAGGGCCAAGGTGATCCCCTTTGTTCTTTTCAAAGCTATAAATCAGCAGCTCAGGACCAGGACCTGGACTCACCAATCTATTAGGCTAAAATAGCAGAATATATGAAGCTTTCCTGATACTCCTGCTGATCCCGATACTTCTAATCAGAGGCACAGGGCTGTACGAGCCTTTAACATTGACTTAGACCTTGCTCTGAACTTGGCGCTTTGAAAAAAATTCCCTTTCTAGCAGATATGCATCTAACCCCTCCAGAGTTCCTTTGTGCCACAAGTTTTACTTCAAAGGCTCGTAGTGGTACCACTTACCCAGAAACCATGTTTAATTACATTGTGTTGAACTAATACAGTCTAAGTGACAATTTAGGGATCAAAGTGTGTTCTTCTGGATGCTAAGCAAAGACTTAATCTCCTGTTACGCACTTGCTTTTTTTTCCTATTAGGGACATTACAATGCAGATTATGAAAATCTCATAAGAAAAGGAAGGTGATTGTGATCTAGTTTTGCAAGTTGGCCACAAAGAGGAATAGCTTGCTACTGGAACAAGTTCAGACCCCAGTAAAAAGCTACTTCCATTTGCCACATGACTTCACAGTCACTGTTTCTCTGAAAAATGCAGCTGACCTGAGACTCACAAATAATTTGAGTGATGCTTGTTCACCCATCGCCATGCATTTTCTCTACAAGAGAAAGCAAGAGCCATTATCTTTCCCCAGGACAAATTTGTCTCCCTGCCGAAGCAGAGATGTCAGCCTGTGTGCAGGGCACTGTTCCCCACTCGCCCACGCAGCAGCTCAGTAGTGCAGCAAATCCTCTTCCCAAAGACGACAACTGAGACCTGGCAGGCTTCGGAAACAGGGAGCAAAAGACTGGGAGATGAAACAATGTGCTAGGAGCACGGCTTTCACTACAGGGAAGATTTTGCAAGTGTTTTATGATTTGACTGATAACCTGTATTATACCGAAGGTCCCCTCTGGTTGGTCAGCTACATACCTGTGAAAAACAAGCTACAATGCTGACTATTCTTCAGCATGCTTTTTACTCAAGTTATTTCTCATCTAGCAGGTAAATATTTGCTCCTACGGGTCAAGATGCCAAAAACTAGTAAAGCTGACTTCCAGGCTAGGCATTGTCTAAAACTTATCTTCTGCCACTGCCAATCCCTTAACTTATTTGCAAGCCTGAAAGAATCCCCTCAGAACAGCATTTGCATGGAAGGGCATTCTCTGGTATGTTGAAGTATACATGGATATGCGATTCTGATGTTAACCTGAACAACATCCTAGGCATGTTGCTACGAATGGAGCAGCTGAATAGCTTATCTTTAAGGTCCCTTCCAACCCAAACCATTCTATGGTTCTGTGATCTGAAATCACAGCATCTCTGTTGCATAAGAGCTAGATGTCTGTCTCCCAAACCTAATCTTGTGTACCTAGTCTTCTGCACTAGACCATACTTACTCAAATGTTCTAGTTCAATGAATTTAAGTAAAATAACTCCTGTATTAAACCACTGTGGTGGAATACTAGTCCTGATTTCATTACAGTGTTCTGTTCCCCAAACTTTATTGCTTGTTATTTTTATCTCTTATTTCTGCAGTACCACTCATGAATATCACCCCTTTATGACATGTGCTACTCAGAACAGAGGAAAAAGGTTTCTGTCTTTAGAGTTTACATCTCCATTAAAATTACACAGATTTGCAATATGGGACCTCAGTCAGAAGTAGGTCATTTACTTCTGACTAGAAAGATATTTGTAATGAGTAAGAGATTTTCCTCTATTTGTTTTACAGGTGTCTGTGCAATGACTAAAGAATGTTTTAAATTAATATGCCCTTCCCTTCTTGTAAATAGCTGGTACTAGGTACTGCTATCTCACAGTTCAAGGGGAAAACAGCAATTTTTTTCAGAAAGAAAAAAAACAACTCAATGATACAGTTTAACAAAACTATTAATAAAACCTTTAAAATTGTTTTGCAGCAACAGTTCATCATAAAATGGAGGTTTAATTTAGCACCAATGCTGATCCTTCTGAAGTGCAATTACTTACCATTTCTAGGTACAGGAATAGACCCTACATTTGTAGGAGAAGCTGCAATATGGAGCAACAGCTGAGACATTCTGCTTTTACCTACCAGCACTCATTATGTATTCTCTGAAGAAGGGACAGCCGAACCAGATGGGCATGATATGAAGATATGGAGTTAGCCCAGGAAATAAAGTTTTGAAACTTGGACCGGTGCAAAAGTTTCCGAAGGCTCCAGCTACCAGGACCCCGTGAGGGTGAAAGCCAAGTAAGTAGTTGTGATTTGGATTCAGATCGCAAGTTTTTATAAGCTGAAAAATAGAGACAGTGGAGGACATGATAATACTTACCTCAGAAGGATTCTCAAAAACAAGTATGGAGATTGCACATTGACAGGACACAGAACCGATGACAATTCATTTCCTTCTAAGAACTTTAAATTACTGTCCTGTTTTACAGCTGAACAAAGTTTAAATAGACATGTCTCAAGATATCATGTCTAGCATTTACTATGCTGAGACACTATCTTGTGACCCAATAGTCCAAGTAGAAAATCAGCCCTTGCCTCTTTTTGTCACTAAATCTCAGGCTTTCAATGTTTTAAATAGAAGATAAGGTCACCTTGGAGTAAGTCTTAGAATTTTACCAAAGATGAGTCTTAGACATTTGTCCATGCTCATGGCTATGCAAGCTCTGTTCCAATGTTTACAGTTCTGTAAGAAACCTTTTACTCACGTGAATGGGAAAGTATTCCCTAAAGTACTTCCAAACAGTCCAGCTTCTGACCCACTCGGACCGCCTGCCCCCTGTGCGTGGCGTTGCCCAGTCAAGGTAGAGCCACACCAGGTACAGAACAGCGAGGAACCAGAAGTTGCCCAGGACTAGGATCACAAAGAATCCACAGCAGAACTCTGCTACAAGAGACAAAAAAAGGAAACCATAGCAAGCATTAATCACGCCTGTCTCCTTTTAAGACCTTGAATTCCCAGCCCTGATATTTTTATTATGGATGCTACTCAAAATGCATACAAATTGAAGTTAGCTTACTCCATATTGTGTGAATGTTGTTACATTGAGGGTGAAACACCTACATGGGTGTATCATCTCAGTCTATATTTCTTACTCTACTGAACAACGGGATGAATAAGCCTAAAATTATGCTGCTTTACTTTAATAAAACAAAAGCATGACCTAAGGACCAACACAGTGGTCTTCTCTCTGTGGTGAACACTAATGTTTGGTAGAGAGTATCTGGTTTACCTAAAGCAAAATAAAAGGAGACAGCGAGAGCTAACAAAGATGTGATGCTCCAGTGAGCAAGAAGAAAGAAGGAGAGCTGAGGAAGGAGAGAAGGGAAAGGGGGACACAGCAAGATCTCTTCTAATGTCAGTCAATCACTTTTCCTTTCTGTTTCTTAACTTCTCTACCTATAAAATAGGGATGGTAGTTCTACTCCCTGTGAAAAATGCCCTGTGACAGGCCAAGGAGATGCACTAGACAAGACCAAAACATTAAGAGATTTCACTTCAGCCTCTAAACATGTCACTGTAAGTGGAAGCTCACTATGGCTACAGGAACCCAACAGCAGTTTGCAGTCCTGACACTTTCAGACCCAGGTTACTAAGAATGGTAACATCCTACTACAATAATGATACATAGGAAGTGCACTACACACAATTCAAAGAGCCAGAAAAAGTTGTCTGATTAAACACAATGTGTTACTTTGAGGCTCAACCCTGAAATAATTGTTCAGGGCAACTCCCCATGGAGACTTTATCTTTGCAGGACTTGCCGGATTTTGCACTCTTGCAGCAACACAAGCAGCTGCGGATGGACTCGGCTGAAGCAGGGTACAGGGGTACCTGCTGCTCTCTGCCCTGCAGTACACCCTGCAGCAGCCTGCTCGCTCTTACATCTTGTGAGCAAAACACATAAGGCTCATGGATCAGAGCAATTCAGCAGATGCTGAATTCCAGGTTTGCAAGGGAGCCAGGGCTTTCGCATCACGTATTTATGCAGTGGCAAGCAGAACAGCACCCAGTCCTCACTGGAAGTCTCAATGGGCAGAGTTGTACGAAACAGGCATTTTCCTGTGATATTTTACAAACCAGACGTAGTACTTTGTATGTCCCATAATTGACTGGCTTTCATGATAGCAACAGCCTGTTAGGTCCTAGAAGGAGTTACACCAGTGAAACATATTGAGCTAAATATGTAAGTAAATAGATAGGAGTAAAAAAATAACAAAAGTACAGCAGGCAATAATTTGGCTAACACAATGTAAATATTACCAGAACTGAAAACTCTGAAATTAGCAGATGGACCAACATCTGTGGTAACCCATGGACCAACATGAGTGGTAAAAACCACTCATCCTAGTTATGATCAGTTTCATTCAAGAAAGAGATTACTTGGGCACTGAAAACTCACAGCAGATACCCTACACCAAGCAGGTTTTGAGCTGCTGAAATTCAGAGTTTAACTTGGCCTATGGGCACTCGTGTTTCCTCCAACCTGAATACCTATTTTTTCTAAACTTCAGCCAACTTGCCCTTCTCCCTAGTTTTACTGTGACTTCAGAGCAGAAATCAATATGTTGTCATGGGGTAACTGAGAACTACCGCAAAGTCCAGAAACAGGGCAAGCAAAGCTGCTGGTTAGATTGAGTAGGAAAGAAAGGGATGAACATTCCCATTTCTGGCAGGGAATGAGCAGAAAAATAAAGAATTGCATTTACTCCAAGGAAGGTAGAAAGAAACAACCATAAACAAAACCTATAGCAGATTCAAATCTACTGTTTTGAAGGATACTCCATTCTTCAGTACCATCAGTAGAGAAGCTCATTGCTTCCTGCTTAAACAGGCAACCCTGGTCCTGCACAGAGAAGTACCTCAATAAGAGCTCTAGAAAAATACCACAGCTAACTGAGGCCCACAGACCTCCAAAGTCAACAGGGAAAACTCTCAAAAGCTGCAGCAACAAGTTCTAGGGGACATCATTAATGCAGGACGAGTAACACAGGTGACAGACGACACTCAATTCTACTGCTCCAGAAGGAAGAATCACTGGGAATCCCACACCAGCAGCACTTCAAAGTTGGGCAAGAAATATTTTGAGGAAAAGTCACTACCTGTTCTTTGAAGAAGAGATTCTGAAACTATAGACATTTCTAGGAATGCTAACCTGCACAGGATGCCAAAGTTCATGGTCTAAGTTTGAATACATCTGAGAAGTTTTTTGAATTGCCACAAATCAATTAATCTCAAGTCACTATGCAAAAATTAATAAGTGTTTATATTTCCGACCCTTCCTTGCAGAAGGACTTCTGGCTCAGTGCAGAATCACATGGCTTTTTACTATCAGGTTCCTAGCCAAATAGCTGAAAGGTGCTTTGGATCAAAGCATCCTTGCTGTGAGAGCTAATTAAATCAGCAGTGAGAAGTGCCAGAAAGTGGTATTCAATACTGTGCAGACAAACATCCATGAGATCAACAATCTCACAGCTTTGCTTTAGCTAGCACACGTTCCTGTGTGCCTGTCAGGTACAAGGAGATAAGTATGCTGTCAACACTTCCTAAGTAGGAAGTCTCAGTAGGACAAAGCTGATGTATTATTTTATTTGCAACAAGACATGCGAAGCAAATTCCTTTTACCACACCTCCTTATTATTTCAATGCATTTACAGCCTGCAAGATGAGTTAAACACTGATGACTCAAAACCAATGAACCTATAAACACAAAACCAGTGTTTTCTCCTTCAGAGAAGACAGTGGGTAAATAAATGGCAACCACTTTACCTAAAATCAAAAACAAATTCCAGGCAAAAGGTGAATAACTTGGAATTCATCACTTTCCTATATCACTGCCTCCTTGGATGTAGTTCCAGTGTACACCGTAAGCATAATGTTTTGCTTGAACTTGAATTAAAGCTTTGAAAATATCTCTATAGTGTATTGGAACAGTGGGGGGGAAAGGAAATATGGATTAAAAGACAGATCAATGCCATGGGACTCTGAACATCTGGTTTGCCAGTCCACATTGGCGAGTCCCTTTTCCTCCATCTCTCCATTTACAACATATGGATATACTCATCTGTTGCAAGAAAGGGATGAAAAATATTATACATAGTGTTAGCTAGCAGTGCTGGCAGCCATCCTGCCCTGTGATCTTTGAACACCTGATGCTTCGCTCATTAAAGAGGCTCTGAGTTTGCAGCCGTGGGCACCACATTCATAAAATAGTTAAATACCACAGAGATAGGAAGTACAAAACCAGCACATTGGCTGAGGAAATGCAGGTGATCCCAGCAACTGGATGCTCCAAATGCATTTGCAGTTACTAAGAAGTCAAAAATGTTTGAGTAATATCTATTGTAAGGGCCACCAAACCTAAGACTGTCCACTAGAAGACAAGCCTCCCATCACTCTCAGAGCAATCACAGACCACGGCCGGTCAGTGCAGGTGTATCGTAGGAGGCCAGGGTGCTTGTCTCAATCCTGCCAGCGCTCCAGGGTCTCCATAATATCCCACCAAGCCACACAAAGCAGCTCGCACCAAGACCTCCAGACCGCTCCACAACTCAGACAGGTCTGAGCTACAAGCCAGTCCCTGCTGCTTCCCACATGCTCTTAGCAAAGCCTTCTCTAAACACACTGTGCTGCTATATCTTAAATAAGCTGGAGACTGTCAGAGCTCAGCGATTTGAACCTCATCCCACAAAGGATGCAATAATCAGGACATCTTTATCCCACTGGCTTTCTAGTCAACATACAGGCACAGATGCTACTTTTCATTTTATACTTCTCTAGGCTTTATGAGTAGACAGGCATACTAATACACAAAGCAAGCTGAAAAGCTCATTTCTTACATCTACAGCCACCGGGGGGGAAAAAAAAAAAGATGGCATATTCTTCAACAGCCACGGCAACATTCCTACAGAACAGTCCTTTCCTCACCTTCAGTCTTCAGAGCAGCAAAGCCTCTGAGCTGAGTGCCTAAGGAACACAACATTGGAGGGAACATACAAGGAGAATGGCACAATGATATTTTTGTCCCTAATGAACATCTGTTCCCCTCTATTATCCCTCAAGGTACCACAGATAAGTTGATCTCGGCATTAAAAAAATATTTTCCCTGTTTGGTGGATTCTTTCACTAGAGGAAAAAAAATTTAAAATCAGTCTTTATTTCTGTAAATACTTTCTAAATTATATATAAATCATAAAGAAAGGGCTAGACATTTAAATGAAATAACACATACAGCAAATGGACTCCAACGGTTCCGCCAAAGGAAGATCTGAGACAACAGGCAACACCTGAGAGGAGGCAACACCTGAGAGGAGGCAACCTGCCAAGGCAACAGTAAGAAAGTTCACGACTCTGCAGAGTACTGCTCTGCAGCTTTTACATAGAAAGTATTTTTTGACAAAATGCTAGTACTATCCTGTTTAGAGCCTACTAGTCTGTGCAATTCTGTCAATATAAAGATTTACACCAGAAGCACAGGAACTTGCTGACACTTTTTACCCATGGCAGATATGGACTTCCCAGCAAAGAACAAGCTGGGAATTTATTTAAACTAACTGCCCTGGAAAATTGTTGAAGTCCACAGGAATTTGGTAGCCATCTCCAGGACTGATGTGGTAAGGAGGTCAGACTGAATACATATCAGTCTCCTGTAGTGGAAGTCCTTTGCCAGTTTACTGGTCACAACTGGGAGCCCCAGTCACAAGGATATTTGAGCATTCCTACCAAGGGAGCTGTATTTCAACACAACTACAATAACAAATACAAACCCTCAGATGCCAAGGTTTGGAGGCTGGTTTAAAGGTCTGTTTACTCTGGAATTTGGTTCCAATTCCCAAGCAAGCAGACCTTCCATTGGCAAATACTGATAAAGTAGAGATACAGAGCAT